CCGCATTCCTAGCCCTACCAAAGAGCGCTACTTGTAGACCTTGAGGTACCTTTGCTACGTGAAAAGAAAGAAAAAGAAAAGAAGAAAACTCTGAACCCTCCGCCGAGGTCTCGCCCACCCCACTATTGCCATGGTTTGATGCGCTCAAACCTAGCGGCATAGTGAATTATGAGCGAGAAGTCAGCCTCTACTGCTCACTCCGCCATTTCTCTCGATCAATACATATCTAATCCCACTCATTTCGCGATGGCTCCAGATTCGCCCACTTGGTCCGCCCGATACTCCCCTACGATATTTATCATAATTTTTTCGCGAAAGCGCTTCTTTTGCTGATTTCTCAGGCTGTGAACTATGCTCTAAGGGTGAAGTACATGGTTGGCTTGAAAAGAAGTGGTGACTGTGTCAACGACAACGGCATATCTTGCTACGGCAATTCTTCCGCTTTTGGCGTCTTAGGCAGCGTTCAGACTTCGCGACGGCAGCGCTTCAGTCGCGCGTTCGACGCGATCGACGCTGTCAAAAGCATGCGCATCGATCGAGTCAAACGCGCGGCCGAAGCGCTGCCGTCGCGAAGTCTGAATGCTGCTTCATAGTGATTCAAAACAGTGCTGGACACTCGGTACTGATTTATTCCTCACAATCAACTGAGAATAACTCAGCTCGAAGGTATCAGAGACAATAGCAAATAGCTATCGATTACATGAGAACCCAATAATGCTTTTAACAAAATACAGCCATCGGTATGGTAACACCGTAAAACGTAAAATATTCCATATAAGTACTCATAAGATTGTGCAGCTCCAAGATAGATATAGGAGGAATTGTTACAGAAGAGTACTTGAATATCTACAAACTTGTTACAGATAAAAGATATAAACTGGAAGTGCGCGTGTTGAGACTGTTAGCATGTTGAAACGTTGAAAGTTATAATTGAAAGTTGTTACATTACTGCACAGACGTCCTTTCCGTCGGCATTCCTCCTCTTCATGACCACCGTACGACAAAGGTGTTCCACAGCCTGAAATTCTTTCAACGATAGTCAACGAGCGAGTTTCAGAACGAAATCCTCATACTGCAGGGCTGGATGCACAGGGTGTGGGGACCGGTGGGTTACTTAAGGATGGGGGTTGCAGTTGTCGTGGGAGCAATGTCTGTTGCCATTCCAAGAATAAATTGTTCTTCGCGGTGGGTGTAGAAAAAGTGGGCGGTGGGGGGGCGCCTTCGGGGGGGTGGAGAAGAAGGACTGAGTGACTTTGAAGGCCGTGATGAAGTGCATAGTGTGAACCACTGATTACTCAATGCACCCAGTCTTGTTGCGCTGCTTTGACCTATATGGTGGCCGTGTCAGTGGAGCTGCGGTTTGGCGGCGGGGCGCCCCACCCTGTCTCCAAAAGTTTTGAGCGGCAAGTAAGTAGACTATAGGCTGCCGTGGACTGATACAGACGATGTGCAGCCTTGGCAAGTCTGTGCTTGCCGTCAAAGAAAGGAAAGACAAAACGGATAGCGTTGCGTCAAACCATACAACCTCGGGATGTTCCACCATCCGCAGCGAACAAGACTGCTGGGCGAGTGTCTGTTTTCGACCCTACGCTCAGTAAGCACACCAAAGAAAGCAGATCCAGTATGTTAGCAGTGGTTTGCTGATAATTTTCTGCAGCTCTGCTCCATCCCACGGGGCAGTATTACGGACAGGATCAAGGGAAGGGAAAATGAGATAGATGTCCGAAATGAAAGATAGAAACGAGATCAGTCTAGACTGCATGGAAGCACTGCAGATCTAGCAAGTGGAAAGATCGGCCGTGTCCCATGGGAAACCCCTTTGGGAGAACGATCAACTTTATGAGAGGGCAGGAGAAGAACAAAGACCCCACCCTGGAGGCGCAAAGCTTGATGTGTATGGAGTGACAGGCAAAAGGGACATGGCATAACTGTACCACACAATGGTTTCAATCCTTTTATCGTCTTTTGTTGCACCCCCTCCGTCGCCCTTACAGATGCTATGAAGAAAACGAATGAACAAAAGAAGCGACACTAGGATGACTTTCGATTTGCGAATAGCTGTCGTTGAAAAATAGCGCGAATAGTTCTTAGCACTTACCTTTGAGACATTCCCGTCTTGCATCGAGAGACTGGTCTCCAGATAGGTGGCCCGGATGTTACGAGCTGTCTTCTCTCCCATTTCGCGAGTCACGTATCTTTGCGAGATTCCGTCAATTACATTCGCAAGCAGGACGCAAGGTTTCTGAACGGAAAAAGCCAAAAGTCTTATTTAGTGATCTCATAGAACGTGCCTATTGCTCCTCTGAATGAATTCAGCACGCCATTTTTAGTATAACCCTCAACATGGAGCTGCAATTACTAACTAATGTGAAAACTTTTACCCGGCTCTCGCTAACGGCAGCCAACTGACGATGAATTGACATCGCTGCGAGAAGACTGGCAGAATCCGAGCAAGAGTAGAGCAGAATCACAGCATCAGCTGCACGCATATAAGACGTATGCGCAACTGAATGATCGTCCTGAATTCATATGAGAAGAAAGTTGTTCGAATAACATTTTGGACAAACTATCGTGA